GTGTCCCACAAGAGTGTCCCACAAGAGTGTCCTACAAGAGTGTCCCACAAGAGTGTCCCGTATGAGTGTCACACAAGAGTGTCCCACAAGAGTATCTCACAAGTGTGTCCCACAAGAGTGCCCGACAAGAGTGTCCCATAAGAGTGACCCACAAGAGTGTTCTACAAGAGTGTCCCGTAAGAGTGTCCCACAAGAGTGCCCTATAAGAGTGTCCCACAAGAGTGTCCCACAAGAGTGTCCCGCAACCGTGTCCCACAAGAGTGTCTCACAAGAGTGTCCCTTAAGATTGTCCCACAAGAGTGTCCTATAAGAGTGTCCTACAAGAGTGTCCTACAAGAGTGTCCCACAAGAGTGTCCCGTATGAGTGTTCCTACAAGAGTGCCCCACAAGAGTGCCCCACAAGAGTGTCCTACAAGAGTGTCCTACGAGAGTGTCCTACAAGAGTTTCCCATAAGAGTGGCCCACAAAAGTGTCCTACAAGAGTCTCCCGTAAGAGTGTCCCACAAGAGTGTCCTACAAGAGTGTCCCACAAGAGTGTCCTACAAGAGTGTCCCGTGAGAGTGTCCCACAAGAGTGTCCTACAGGAGTGTCCCACAAGAGTGTCCTACAAGAGTGTCCCGCAAGAGTGTCCCACAAGAGTGTCCCACAAGAGTGTCCTACAAGAGTGTCCCAGAAGAGTTGTTTCGTATGAGTGTGCCCCACAAGAGTGTCCCACGAGAGTGTCCCACAAGAGTGTCCTACAGGAGTGTCCCACAAGAGTGTCCTACAAGAGTGTCTCACAAGTGTGTCCCACAACCTACAAGAGTGTGCTACAAGAGTGTCCCGTAAGAGTGTTCCACAAGAGTGTCCTACAAGAGTGTCCCACAAGAGTGTCCCGTATGAGTGTCTCACAAGAGTGTCCCACAAGAGTGTCTCACAAGTGTGTCCCACAAGAGTGTCCTACAAGAGTGCGCTACAAGAGTGTCCCGTAAGAGTGTTCTACAAGATGTCCCACAAGAGTGTCCTACAAGAGTGTCACGTAAGAGTGTCCCACAAGAGTGTCCCGCAACAGTGTCCCACAAGAGTGTGTCACCGGAGTGTCCCTTAAGAGTGTCCCACAAGAGTGTCCTATAAGAGTGTCACACACGAGTGTCCTGCAAGAGTGTCCCATTAGAGTTTCCTACAAGAGTGTCCCGCAAGAGTGTCCCACAAGAGTGTCCCATAAGAGTGACCACAAGAGTGTCCTACAAGAGTGTGCGACAAGAGTGTCCCGCAAGAGTCTCCCACAAGTGTCCTACAAGAGTGTCCCACAAGAGTGTCCTACAAGAGTGTCCCGTATGAGTGTCCCACAAGAGTGTCCCGTAGGAGTGTCCCGTAAGAGTGTCCCAGAAGAGTTTCCCAGAAGAGTGTCCCACAAGAGTGTCCCGCCAGAGTGTCCCACAAGAGTTTCCTACAAGAGTGACCCACAAGAGTGTCCCACAAGAGTGTCCTACAAGAGTGTCATTTGGACATATGTAGCTTTTCGATCGTGTTTGCATTCGGGTTCGTGGGCGGCTCCATCTTGTTCTTTTTTATCTCTTTTTCTGGGGGGCCCACTACTGCAAGAGGTACTGGCACTGGAAATCTAATCCTGAGGTGAAGACTATCCACATGGAGTTGGCACCCACACTTCAGGCTTTCAAAGCCGAATCCTTTCGACGCGCTCCGTCCGACCGCTCGGACGTTCACACGTCGTGGGCTCTTTTTGGGACTTGTCCTGGGGTTGGGCACTGGTCCCTCTGGGAAGAATCTTCGCTGGCCCCTGGTTGCAACAAGGCCAATTGTTTTCCACCAGCCAGGCCAGCCAGGCCATGTCTTTGAAACATTCAGGTCATGTTTTGCCCAGCCAGGGAGGAATCAAGCATGGAACCAAGGAACCAAGGTCCCTTCCAGCTCAAGGGGCACTTCAAAAAAGTCCAAATGAAGTGTGCAATCGGGGTTTGATGATCTTGAGAACATGCAACTTCCCACAACAAGGAAAACACAATCGAACTGAAAGTGCGTTCATTAAGGGCATGTGCTAACATACCAGGTGCAAAGAGTACTTAAAAATGGGTACCCTTTCCAACTACAAACTGCAGAGAGAGAGGTGCCCGTTTTATAGTGAGGGTAGCCTGGATGAATCTGGCCACCTGAACATTGCATTTGGTAGAGTGGTTGTTTTCAACTGGGTCACCCTGGGTCATAGAAGATAAGACATTTGGAACGCCATTTCATAGAGAAGCTGGTCTTCATACAGAAACAAAGGAGTCATAAGAGAACAAAAAGTTCATTGGAGAACAGACGCTCACTATATAATTTACGAAATATACAAGTATATACAAGTGACAATAGTAATAGACTTGACCTTGTTTTGCCTTTGTCTCTTTCTCCGTTTCGGGGATCGCCCTGTGTCTGTGTGTCTATTCCCTTAACAGGGGAAGACACAGGTATGTAGTACCAACATGTACCAACTAGTCAGTTGCACGAACAACATCCCACGGTCGCGCACAGACTGCGCTGTCGAAGTGGAGACTAATAGTACCCAACAGAGATGCTTTGGCTAAAGGTTGCTGCTGGTGCCCCACGGAAGATTGTTTGCAAGCGATGCCTTGCAGGCTGTGACAATCAACTCGTTCCAACCTCAAGCATGCACATTTCAGTTCGCCGCTCTCGTGGCATGTGATCGTCCACGTGAATCTAACATGGCTCACTTGCACAAGACATAATTCCCTGGTCCCTTTCTGAAATACTTTAAATTAGAATTGAGCCACGTCTTTGTCTTTGCTGCTGGAGCGAGCAACCACAACAGAGAGAGAGGGAGGGAGAGGGAGGAAGGGAGGGAGGGAGACCGGGGTCGGAACTGCCATCAGGTTGTCGGGACACGACCGGCCGCTTGCTTGGATTGCCTGTCGGGGCGCCTCGTGGCCGATGGCTGGATCGCCTAGGCACCCGCTGCGGCAATTCTTGGAGCCTTTCGTCACCCGCAACATCCAGGTGAGTGAGGATCAACTGGGAGTAACTAGGGCAACTATAGATTTATAGCATGATAACCTAGCAGCACGTAGCTAGGCCATTCATTCAAACGCGCCCCTTTCCACCTCGTGCGACGGGCACCTCTAGCCTGTGGAATTGTGATGAGTTCCTGTGGAATTGGGAAGAGTTGCGTGCATCGCATGGGCTAGTCTTCAGTGTCCGATACGTAGGCTGGGCGTCAGAAACGGGCCGTTCGCGCCCACGTGCAGGCGACCAACTCCAATCTGAAGGTTTGGTTCGACTTCCGCGGGGCGGAGTTTGGCTTGGCTCCCTTGAGTGTCGAGGACCGATAGGTCCGATAGGTCTTTTGGAGCCGGGAAGACTGGTGAGTGGTGGTGTGTGTTGTCGTGTGGATCTTTTTCTCACACCTGCAGTTTAGTGGCTCAAGCCCGCAGTAAGAATGACGCTCAAGCACTACTTCCAAGTCCAGATAGATAAATTATGATGATTGATATTGATCTTTGTAGCAGACTCGGCAGGCTTTGGCCAAAAGCATTCTGATGAGCTGCAAAAAGTCAAGCTTGGCTCATGCATCAAGCCACTTAGAACTCAAACCTTTGAGCCATCACGGACCATGTTGGATGGACATTTGGTTAAGTTAATATTTGATTTGGTTTTTCCTTCACAGTTTTTGTTCACAGCTTGCTTTGTGGTCATGTCCATCATGACCCCTTTTGCGGCTTTGGCCATCCTTGTTGGCTTTGTGTTGCTTTGCTTGCTTCGACGCGCCACTTGGCAACAGTGAAGGGATACCATTCCGAGACCTTGAATGAAGAGCTGTTCAGTAGACTGCCCTTGAAATTGACCTTGAGTGAGTTTAAAGATGTCAACGTGCTTCGGTTTTTTTGGGGTCCTCAGGTGCGGAGGAAACATGATGCCTTGCCATCTTCTCAGCCTGTTTTTCAAGGCCTTCGCTGTGGTGCACATCTTTCTTGTTGATCGTTGTCTGAGCTTTATACTATGCAACACGATAGGCTTAAACGATTTGCTGTTAAGAATAGGGTCATGTCATGACCCCCTGGCAATGAGTTGGCATGTCAAGCGACAACATAATATCTACCGTGGTTAGATTACAGTAGTTGTTGTTCCTCCTCGGTTCTTTTTTCTTGCTTTACATGTTTCTTTATCTTTTTCTTCTTCACTCCTTGTCTCTTGCCCTCTCTACCCCTCTCTTCTCGGGTCTAAACTGCGTTTCTTTTTGTTGTCCTCCAGACAGACTTGCACTTCCCACCTGCATGAAAACACGAAGACCCTCCGTGTCAAGAATGTTGCACACGCTTGGAGACCAACATGCAGATGTTTGGGCAGGAGAGGAGGAGATGGAAGAGCTGCCCGAGAGTGTGGCACCCTCAGATGAGATCAAGAATGTCGCGTTTAGTATACGTATATAATAAACAAATTCAGTAATGACAGATTTTGCTAGAATCAGCACTGTACAGCAGTGGTGTAAACATTTTGCCTGCATCCCTCAGGTTATCAAATCCTTCACATTTTGGGCCGGCGGTCTTGCTGGTGTGGTGTCTGCTGCTGCCACCCACCAGCTGGACGTAGCAAAGACGACGCTTGGATTTGTAAGGAAGTGAAGTGCAGTGTAGATGACAGCTGATGTGGCTGGCATCACTACTCACTACTCAAAAACAAAATAGATGTTTGCTACGTGGTCTCCGTGCAGTCGTCGTAGAACTGCCGGTAGATGGCAGCTGTACTATACATTGCTGGAGCCAGTTCCTTCTAGGCTGCGGCATGTGGGCAAATCAATGCCCGAGAAGTTCTCGGATTACTTTGTGGGAGCCTCATTTGTACAGCTCGTAGCTGAAGGCCCACTGAAGACACTGCAAACCACGTCACAATGTCTCATCACTGACTTGGACTGAATTGGAATCTGAGAGCAAGGATAAATAGACATATAGTAAACTATACACAAAAAGCCAGTCGTGGTTCAGCCGCTTGCGACTCAGCAAAGTCCAGCACTCCTGCACAGGTTGGAATGGCCATGGGCTCCTTTGCTCAAGGCTTCCGTTTTGCTGTCACCTTGATTCTCAACATGACTTTGCAGATGCTCGGCTGAGATTTGGGGAAGACCGAGAGTCCAAATATTCCAAATTATGCCGACCCAATATCAGCACACTCACGACACTCAGCCGCTGAAAAACCTCCAATATTCCCCATCCATGCTGCTCAGCATAGCGGCATAGCGCGCACCTCAAGCGGAACATCATGCTTCGCATCCTTTGCTTGTTACTGTAGCTGTAGCTCACATCAGTGCACTTCGTCATGAGCTTCTGCACTGAAAGCGCTGCATGTCTCAGGAAACGCCTGGACAAGTGGCAAAAAGATGCAGAGAGAAGAGCCGGACGATGCGACTTGGCAAGGCATTACAGCTTGGCTTGGTGCACTTCCAATGGGCTGCAAGCTCCAAAATCTTCATCACTGGCCTGTTCTGCCATGACCTTTGGATGTGACTGTAGATCACATTGGTGCAAGTCTCGAGAACATGCAGAACATGTAGCTCACATAGGTGTATATGTATACATACATTCGCGCATTGATCAGGACATGGCATAACCCAACATTGACACTGAACAACCAGAATCACACCATGCAGACTGATCTTTGAGCAGATACGATCATTTGCCAGGTAGCTGGCTGATTTCGCTGGCGCCCCAAATCCTCCCCCGTGTTTTTTGTTGTTTTGCATCCTTGCAGTTGAGATGGTTGAGGTTTTCCATCAGCATGCTGGCAGCTGGGATTGGCGAGTTCCTGGCCAATCCTCCAGTTGTGATTAAGAACTACCAGCCAGAGACCTACGTACACAATGGATGCTCATTATGAATACTTTTGCTCGTATCTACTTATTTTCCGGCATCAATTTGCACATTTGCGGAATATGCATGATGACCTGTCTCCAAGAAAGCCTTTGAGAGCACGCTATTTGGCTTGAGCGGCCCAAAGCATCAATGGTTTGCGCATGACTTGACATTATGTTTTGTTTTGTTTTGTGGGTGTTGTTCTGACAGAAGTCTACTCACCTAGGATTTCGAACAATGTGGACATTTGTACAGCCAGAACCTCAGCCTTGAGGGTTGGAAAGTCGAGGGGTTGCGCTCTGAGTTCCTGAGGCCTGCGAAGAACTGTGGGACGATGGAGGGCAGCCGCGATTCTTTAACGGAGCTGGACACTCAACCATTGAAAACATGCACAAAAATAACAAGTGAGTACGCATTGCATGCAAAGAGAGCATGTGTTCTTGAGGGTCGAATCTGTTGTCGCGCGAGACGTGGAACCAAAGGCGTTGGTGTCTTTTTCCAAGGTTGGCATGGGTGTGCTGCGGAAATCCCTTGCCAATGGGGTCAGAGACTTGGAGCTAGAAATGTTCACACTGCGATTTCAACCACGCAAGCCCACCAACTTATGCAGACTTTGAGTGTTGCAGACCTTTTGTGGCAGATGCCGCATTCTGGCGTTTCGGTTCTGTTGTGTGTGCCGTTGCCATGAGACAAGGTAGTCTTGCAGACGTGTGGGAGCTCAGGTTTCGCATCAGATCATGTCACCATGGGTAAATTCACACTAGCTGGTGGGGCATGAAAATAAGCCACCTCTGGACCCGAATGGTTGGCCAGTTCATCGCAAACTCTAGCAGACATGTCTTGGAATGCATCCTGTGCTTGGGCCCTTTAGAAGCGAAGGGGGTAAGGACGGCGAGGCAAACCCAATGCCCAACGCTCTATGCATATTCTGAGACGTTACGTTACTTGAGAAGGCCAATGTGTCAAAGAACTGTCACGATAGCAACACAATTGAGGCATGGCAGATCCAATCACCACTAAGACATTCCCAGAACTGGTCCAAATTGAAAGGCACATTGTGGCTCTGGAATTTGTCGCACCGATCGGTCCCAAATATTGAGGATCGGCCCCACCAAAGCCATCCTTGGCGTTGCATTTCCCCAGTTGCAGACGAACAAGGCAGGGTTTCATGGGTTGTGATGGCTTGCTGGGTGCGGGGTCTTTTGCAAGCCTGGTGTAATTTATCCATGCATGGTCTGGTTGTGGTGGGGTTTAAAGATGTTTAAAGGGGTGTTTTTTTTTTGCAAAGCAGGCCAGCTGGAATTCTGCCCTCCAGGGTTCAAGATGTTTCACAGCCGCTTCTTCACCATTTGCACGTCAGGTGATGCTGAGCTTTTGTGCTGGCAGCTTGACCGGAAGCTTCGCAGAAGTCATCACCAATCCACCGGACCAGGCCGAAGCCGTCGCCATTTCGCGAGACTTGGCTGACGGGGGCCACGGTTGAACAAGTGCCCTCGGCGCCAGATCTTGCCATATCAACTTGGGACGCCCAACTGCAAGTGTCCGGAGCAACGTGTTCATTTGTTGAGCTACGCGGGGTGAGAAGTGAGAAGGTCTTCTCCCCTGCGTGCCGTTGATCTATCAGCTGAATCATTGTGTGCGCGGCTGCGTGATAATTACGTAGAGACCGTAGAGATGCAACGAAACAGTTGCTCTCTGGTGAATGAGAGGTGAAGACGATGACGCAAGCGGGTGTGCACTGAGCTCAGGCATTGTATGATTAGAAATGGGCCCATCCATATCCATCCATTCTCACTCCAAGGCCTTTCTTTGAAGCGGTCAGCCTGGCTATGAGACACCCCTTCCGGGGTGCCGGTTTTGCCGGCTTGCGAAAGGCAGGGCTACCCGTTTAAAAGAACTATCTTCATGGAAAGCATGTGTGTTGAGATGCGGTACTGCCAGTTGTTGAAGTCGAGACATGTTTTTTTTTCAAATAGCAGATAGAAGGTGATGAGCAAACCAGGAAGCCGATACACTATAGCGTTTCCTTGCAGGGTAGAGTGTGTTGGTTAAATGCATGGTTTTATTCAATGGGCTTGTTTTACTCAGCGTTCACAGTGTTTTGATTGCACAAGACCTACCGCAAGGAAGTTGGCAGGCAACCCATAGGTTGTTTCTAGAGGATTCTAGAGGTTTCTATGCCCATAGGTTCCCCTTCATCTTGGGATTGTGGGTCTCATATCTCCAACCCTCCAAGGGCTTATAGGGCCAACCCTCGGAAGCAGGGTCCTCATGGAAACCTGGCTTCCGCTGTGAAGCGGGCACACTATTGAGTGGCATGAACTTGTGCCAGATGAGGTGTGCCCTTGGGGGAAAGCTTGATTGGGCTACCTTCGCTGGTGCTGCCGGTCTGCTGCTGGTTTTCTGCTGCTGCTGCTGCCTTGCTGCTGCTGGTTGGCTACTGCTGCTGCTGGCGGTTGGCTGCTGTTGGTTTGCTGCTGCTGCTGCTGGATGATTGCTGCCGGTGCTGCTACTTGCTGCTTGGTTGCTGCTGGTGCTGCTGCTTGCTGCTTGCTGCTGCTTGTCGCTGCCGCTGCTGCGGCCTGGGCTACAAGGCCTACTCACTTGCTGCCTGTCATTGTCTTGCACGCCCTATGATGGTGTCCCAGCTTTTGATTGGTTGCCACAGTTGCATTGCAAGGACTTTGTGTTTGGGTGTTAGTGGGCATGGGTCTTCTGGGCAAACGTGTTCATCTCGCCCAATACCTCGCCCACATCTCGCCCTCTATCTCGCACAACCCACCAGGCACCAGGACCTCCAGAGGTGTGCGATGGGGATTGCCATTGTCACAACACATATGTGTATATAAGCAAAGGCCTCTTCAATTTACATGGCCCCCCAGGCAGGGAGCGACTTGCAGGTGTGCCATGCGGAAGTGTGTCCTGCACAGTCGTTGAACGACAGGAACGCGCGCACACAGACACCAAAGAAGGCAAAACGCAAGCTAACCATGGTTTTTTCGTGGTCTTAGCATACTTCTGGCAGAGATCGGAAGCCGATGTGCCATGGGGACAATGTGGGATTTGCTCCTGTGATGTGGGATTGGTGAAAACGGTGTGCCATGGGATGATGTGGTTTCTAGCCTCTGCTGGTTGGGTGCTGCTGCTGCTCCTGCTGCTGCTGCGCTGCGCTGTTTTGCTGCTGGTGGTCGGCTGCTGCCAGTTGCTGCTGGTTTGCTGGCGCTGGTTGGCTACTATACTACTGGTTAGCTGCTGCTGGCTTGGTGCTGCCTGCTGTTTGGCTGCTGCTGGTTTGCTGCTGCCGGCTTGCTGCTGCTGTTTGGCCGCTGCTGGTTACCTTCTGCTGCTGTTGGGTTGTTGGTGTTGTTTTGCTGCTGGTTGGCTGCTGCTTGCTGCTGCCGCTGCCGCTGCCTGCGCTACAAAACCTACTCATTTGCTGCTGGCTGTTGTTGCACAAACCCTATCATTGTGGCAGTGTCCGGTTGTAAACTGGGCTTGGAAAGCATGGTTTTGGCTTACATGGCCTGTTTGGTGAAGCGCGGTGTCCCATGCGAAAACTAAGTGACTCTGCCGTGACTTAGTCGTGGTGTGGTGTCACAGTGTGATTTGCTTGCCGCAACTGCTTTGCAAGGACTTTCGTGTCTGGGTGGTTACCCTCGAGGTAGGAGCTTAAAGGTGGTGCCAACATGTGGGTGAGAATGGTGTGCCATGGGGGTTGGATCATTTCAGCCCATAGGAAACCTTAGAACCCATCAACGTGTAGAAGATTGAATCGCAATGGAATGGTGTAGGTTTAGAAACAATCTAGGGTAGGAGAAAAAGTGCTTGTTTCGAAGCGGTGTGCCATGGGGATTGGGAGAGGAATACACACAAGAATGCATAGATATTTTTGACGTTTAAAGAACAATTCCATGCTGTTTGCACTCCAGGTAGAAACTTAAAGCTGGTACCAACATGTGGGTCAAAATCGGGGTGCCATGGGGATTGGATCACGGCAACCCATAGATAACTCTTGAAAACATCAACATGTAGAAGGTTGAATCGCAATGGAATAGTGTAGGTTTAGAAACAATCTATAGGAGAAAAAGTGCTTGTTTCGAAGCGGTGTGTCATTTTGTCCAAATGGGGTAAGTTCTTACATTCGTGGGGTAAGCGGTGTGCCATGCGGGTGGGTCAAGTTCATGTGCGATGGGGTAAGTTACCACGTCGGGTAGCTCTCCAAATTGCTTTGCCATTGGGATTTGCAGTTGAAGTTTTCTCTTTTTGGAAAGGCGAATCTGGAGAACCTTGTTCTGTATGTAGCGTTTGCAATGGGGAAGGCCAGCAGTCTTGACTTAAGTACTGACTTTTGCAAATCGGCGTTCCATGGTGGTTTAGTATCCCACATGCAAAATGTATTAACTTCAACGGGCACCAGTAGGGTGTGGGGCAGTCCAGAGCTGCTTGGTGGGATCTGTTTGCAAACTGCGCAGCACATTCCTGCGGCCTTTGAGGGCATCATCCGTGGCATCAACTGGGGTGGGCTGACATTCTTCATGGCTGCCAAAGACTGAGAAACGAGAAATGAAATGACATGGAAAGACCCACTGGCATCAAACACAAGAGCCATTCATTCCTTTGAGTTTGGGGTCCGAGCAGTCCTTGAGTTGGGCCAGGTCTTTGAGTTGGCTTATCGAAGATATGGCATTGTAAAGGGCCGGAGGTTGCAACCTTGGCTCACACAGCGCGAGTGATTCACTAGAAGTACTGCATCCAATCCAATCTGTGAAGCATGGCAACCGGCCCAAATTAGGGTGAAGGTCTAGATCGCTGCTATCCTTTCCAAAAAGCCCGGGCGAACCTGGTGTCTCGCACGATGCGGTGCACGATGCCGCTCCGTCGCCGAGGCGCAGTGTCTCCAAAGAAGCGCTGGAAACCCACACAGAGTTTGCCCGAGCTGTGAGTGCACAAGCTGAGAGCTGACAGATGCTGACAGCCATGGTTTGTTTGAATGGCCTTTTGAATTGCTGCGCGCAACTTGCGAAGTTTTTACTGGGTTGAAGCGCCTCGACGACTCGACTCCTATAGCTGGGGAATGCTGGGGATTTGTGGGTGGCCAGTTCTTGAGAGTGTAGCTGCCAGTGGGCGACTGTAAGATCCCCCCGAAGAAAGCTGGCATGAGCATGATTGGACATGGTGGAAATATGTTGAAATTAATAAACACAATTGATCTTGACCTCTTGAATTTTGGCCATCACCACGAGTCCCGATGTTTTGTCGCATTGCTTGTGGAGCCGTGGAGCGACTGGGAAAATGAGCTGAAGAGGCAAGGGTGTGGCAGCCTCCACCACGAACCCACAACATTTTGCTTTCTTGTTAGAATGCCAGGCTCCGAGCCCTAATGAGTTGCTTTTGGTGCATGGCTGCTGTGGCACAACTTCTAAGATTCCTTTTTTGCAGATAGAAGCCATTGCGGCCACAGCACGACTCAAAGCTTTCATCTTTTTTCAAAACCTTTTGCTTTCGAGGAAGCATCTTGGATTGTTTCCCCTCCAGGAGCAGCTGAGGCTCATTTCGGATGACATGAAGGATGCTGGCTGCCCGGGCAGCGTTTCGTGTTTGCGTTTTCTGCTTCGCCTCTTCCTCTGTGACCTGGAGCGAAGGGCCATGAGTTGAGTGCACAGGCCCCCTTGGACTTGAGCAGCCTCGACCTGGAACGCTTCGCAGAGGACGGACTTGGAACGGAGGAACGGAGTCTGAACATAACCTGGTCGTCATAGGTCGCCAGGCTTCGGTGAACTGTTCTTTTGAATTGCCCAATTTCCGAATCCATGGGCGCAGTATCAAAGAGCAATTGTTAAATAGGCTGACCCTTGCTGCATCTTGCTGCTTTGTTTGATCCAGAATTGGGATTTTGGAGCGCCCATGTTGACCAGCATGATTGGGTCCAGCTTCCTCGCAATGATATAAACAGGTCCATAGGTGAGGTTTGCTTGACGGGCCGTTTGGATGGTGTGACACAATGCCTGATGTGCAGGCCCGTGGTTGGCCAAAGGTTGGCTTTATGCCAGATTGGTACCAACGAGGAAGAGAGGCGGCCCGTTCGGCAATAACCGACTTAGCCAGACAAGAACCATCAGGACGCTGCCCTGTGCACGAGTGTGTTTGTGTTTGTGTTTGTGTGTGAGAAAGGGAGCCTTTCGGTTACTTGCAGGGGGGCAATCCCACATTGCAGTCGATTGCCCAACGAAGAGGTCTGCAGTTGTGGCTGATATCCGGAAGGGACGCCTTCTGGACGTACCTGCATGCTTGTGGGGTTTGTAACAACACCCCAATCTAACCTTCAGGATGCTCTACATGACTTTCTCAGAAAGATGGTTGCCTAGGTCGTCGTGTGGGGCGAGTGGCTTTCAGTTCCCCACGAATTTCCCGAGTGTGTTTGGCCTAGTGCCAGCCCGGAGTGAGCCCAAAGACTGCGCCCTCCGTGGCCCCATCGAAGGGGGGTTTGTCTTCGTCCCTGCGCCCGGGACTAGATTTAGTCCACAGCGGACGAAGTAGGCTTGTGCGAGACGGGCCAGACGTCAGTTGAGATTGATTCTTGGCTGAATGCCGAGAGTAGCCCGCAGTGGGCCAGAGCAGGCTGAATGCCAGGAGTAGGCCACAGCGGCCGTAGCTCTTTCAGTCCGTTGGGGGACCGGCCTCAACCGTAGGTGCACACACGGCACGTACAGAAACCAGGCTAATTCTACGCAGGTTAGCTCTAATGGGGCTTGGCTTCACTTTTGCGCCCCCTCAATTTGTTTCCCTCTTAATATCTTCCCCTGCACACACTTTCTGTTCCTTTTTCTTTTCATGCCTTTCTGTCCTCATGTCTTGGCACCTCATCCCTTTTCTCTCATGCGCATACATCAGTCCGGCCCCTAGTGCACACGCGCACTCGTACTTGAAGCTCAGGTTTGAGGTCGCCCAGGTTGTTATAAGGAAGTTTGCTTCATCGGTTGTCCTTGGTCACTTGGTTATTGCAATCATGTGCACTTGGTTTGTTTTGTCTTCTTTTCATGTCTTCATCCTTTTGTTATTTTGCCCGCGCACACGCGCATTAGCTTGAACTTGGACCTCGTCTTTATTGTTAATTGTTGCCTTCCTTTACGGGAGGCGTGTGTGTGAAGCCCTTGGAGCCACAGGGAACTTTTTTCGGTTACTTGCAGGGGGGCAATACCACATTGCAGCCGATTGCCCAACGAAGAGGGCCGCAGCTTCTGATCTACATGTTCGTGGCGTTTGTAACTACACCCCAGGCTGCTTAGGTGGAGGTAGGGCACGTTTCGCCGGCCTTGTCGCTTGTTCGCTTTTCACTTTGAAATTTTGGGTCTCCCCTTTTCAGTCTGGACCCCCAGGATGCTCAGACCCCCTTACATAACTTTCTCAGGAATTTATAGTTGCCTAGGTCGCCGTGGGGCGTGTGTGTACGTGTGTCACACTCCGTATCTAGGAGTACCGTTTGTTCGTCAGAAATGATGCGCAGGGGAGTGGAGCAGTCCTGCAGAGCTCCACTTAACAAAACTCCCTGCAGTGTCCTGAGGATATCACTGGAGACGACCAGTGACGTACCTGCATCGTGGCACTACCCCAATATTTTCCTGCTGGCATTTATTCGCTGCGCCGCCGCAGCCTGCCACGAGCTTGTTGCGAGTTTTTTTTTTTAAAGTTGCTCAACAGACCTGACCCCGTCGCCGTGCGTTTCCCTCATCCATTTCACTGTGGATTTTGATACTGGATAAACCTGTGACTAAGTGTGTGTGTGTGTGTGGCCGACCTGCATTTCCACTCAGCTTTTGGCAAGTCAAACCCGTGGAGGTGGAGAAAATCTTTGACGCGTTGATTCGTGACTGGGCTCAAGGATCCTTTGAGGGTCAGGGCCTGAGAGGTTCTTTTGATGCTAAGGTATTTGGTAAGTTGGTTTTGTTTTTGTCATCAGGGGACGATGCAGACCTCCAGAAAGACGAAGGAGTCGTGATGTGGTGGGCAGAACTCTGAGATGCCTTGCTGCCACGCACATCATGACATTTGTATACATTTGTGCTGATGAAAGTCACCAATGGGATCCAATAGGGCCAGTGAGAAGCAAACAGCCGTATGACCTTGCATGCCGCTAAGAAAAGCCTGTATGAGCAGATGCCATCATTCAAAGCAGCGTCAGAAGGCCTGTTCTCAGATATGGCAAATTTGTCCCTTGGACATTCGCTGCAGTGCTTCAGCAGGTTCCGAATGGCTGACCAGTTGGAGCCCTGAGAGTGGACTTGGAAAGTCATGACTTCCGAAGTGGAATCCTTTGCCCTGAGTCATAGACGTTTCTTTTTTTCGCGTGGTCACGGTGGGTTTGGGCGAGCCTTTAGGGTTTTCGCATATAGGCAAGATCAAGTCCACTGGCATCGACTACGACGTAGTAGACGAGAAGGCACGAGATCTAGGGCCTTCCAGGGGTAAGTAATGAGAAGAATCAGAGTTGAAACAACTAATTATGTTTTTTCTGATGCATTATGCACACCGTTGTGGCCCTAAGCAGATCCTTTTGGATTTTGGAGAATCACAGATGCTGTGGATATTATGCATTGATACCATTACCCCTACAGGAAAAGCAGTTGTTTGGTGGGGATGGGGCGAGGTGCTCCTTAATTTCTTAGTGCTTTTTGGTAAGCAGACTGTTCGTTCCCGTTCTGAGTTGTTCTGAAGAACCCCCTTGTATGGACGTTTCTATGTTTTTATCATTTTATGATGGTTTTCCATAGCACCAGGCTGAGAGTGTCATAGAGTGTCATGTTTGCACCTGAATGAGTTGGCACCTCGAGGCCCCACCTATATCCCAACTATTTGACGATCCAAACCGCCCAAGCCGTTGCAGTGCCCAACATCTCAGATGCGTCTCTGAAGTCGTTTCGGGTCGTCTCCATGGGAGGATTACTCTCGGTCGCTGAGACCGGCCGTCCGGACGGCGATGCCGATGCCGATGACGATTCGAACCGGTCGCGATGGTCGAACCGCGTCGATTGTAAGCAGTTCCTGCGAGAAGCGAACGGCCGGCTCTCGGACTTCTACGAGCGAGATCGCGATCTCGGTGAGGGAGCTTATGGTGAGGTGAGTGAGGGGCACCGGCTTGTGGTTGTGGGTGGTGTTCTACTGAGTAATATGAGTATATATATAACTTATATATATAAATATATTAAATATATATATATACATATTAGACATTTTTTGGTTTCAAGAACGGTCCCGGGCTAAGTACTAAGAACGGGGCACCTTGCAATCCCGCATCTTGCCTTTATTTTGGAGGTCTTCCTGGCACGGCAGCGGATTTGCGCCGGCGGGCAGAACGAGCGCGCGGGTCGCCTTTGTGCCGTGAAGAGAGTCAGGAAACCCAACGTGGCAGCCGGCTTGGATGAGGAAGGCGCAGATTCAGAGGAAGCATTGGAGGAGTTCCGGGTGGAGGTGGAGTTAATGAAATCCTTGGACCATCCTTCCATTTGCCGCCTCTTGCAGGTCTACGAAGATCCAAAAAATTTGTCACCTGGCTGTATATAAATCCCAAAAATCCAAAACGATAGTAAATAGAACAAACAATACATAAATTATACATTTACGAGACAAACACAACATATGAAATATACTCAAGCACACACTGGCATAAAACTGTGGCGAGCTTTCGAATGGTACTTGTAGTTTTCAGCAGTGAAGTCAGCTGCTGTCAGGTATTTGGTCATGGAACATATTCAGGGCGGAGAACTCTTTGAGCACGTTGTTGAATGTGGAAGCCTTTCTGAGCATGATGCCGCGCGCGTGGTCAGACAGGTTGCTTCAGCACTCTCTTATTGCCATGAACATGGCGTCGTGCATCGGGACATCAAGCCCGAGACCTGTCGCTGAATGTCATGGGGCCGTTGATGCATAATTTGGTTCCCACACGAACGGAGAGCTGTAGGATCATGAATGACTACTGTAGCCCCTTGGATGGGGGTCTGAGTGTTTGACCTACCTGCCAACTTGGATGGTTCAAGTTAGTTTAATATTCAGAACATCCTACCTTCAAACACAAGGCTGGCCTCATGGATATTTACCCGCCTGTGACTATATAATTGTTTAGCCTGTCAGACAAGATTCAAGCGCAAGCAGGCTGTCAACCGTTGGAAGTTTACTGTATGTGCGCTCATTAACATCCTCTACCTGATGACTGAGCATCACTCAGCTAATCTCAGCTATGTCTATGTGTTTGTTTCAAGACTTTCTAGAATCAAGCGCCATCGAATTAAGCACCACATCTAACCAGGCATTTCTGGAATGTGGATGATTTATGATGATTTGATGTTTATCCATGCATGTTTATGCTAGCGGAATTTTACCGCCCAGAAAAACATCCAGAAAAACATGGATGTTTTGGAGATGGACGACTTCAGCACAGTGCCTCGATTCCGAGGGTTCAGATGTCATTCGGTTCAAATTACACATGCATACAGAAGAAACCCTTCTACGTTGCTACACAATGCGAGCGACTGAGAGTGGGGTGGGGGTTGGGGTGGGGAAG